AGGCCACTATGTTCTCTGTCCACTATCTCGGAGCAGTTTACTGCATATCTCTGTCTCCCTCCTGGTTATATCTGTCCCTTCAAGGGAGGTCGGTTGCTCCTGGCTATCTGGGAGAAACACTGCAGCCCCTCACCGTGGGACCTGCCCCACTGTTGCTCTCCCCTGCCCTGATGCCCCTTGGACCTGCCATACAGATGCAGGAGCTGCCACGAGTTCTTTTATTCCTCAATTTCCATTTTTTCCCCACCCACCATGGGTCTCAGGACATGCACTGTGCTGCTGACTGTGCCAGTGGAGAACCTCAGAAACAGTGAAGATGCCAGGCAGGCAGGGGAGGACAGTAGCTACTGGGGAGCAGGCAGTGTCCCCTGCCAGCCTGCAGCCCAAACAGGCAGGCAAAGCCCAGCTCTGGCTGGAGCTAAAACACGGCCTCATTTCACAGCAAAACAATCCCTCTTTGTGCGGCCTATTCTCCCAGAACAATCCTCCGCTCTGACAATGTCCTTTCTGTGGCTTAGTCCCTGCAGAGCAACCAGCAGCGTGCTCAGCCTGATGCCTGGCAGCTTGCACCAGCGCCTGCCCACAGCTCTGCTGCCCCATGGCCAAGGTGCAGCACCTGGGACCTCCGGCCTCGGCAGCCTCTGCTTGGGACTTTGTGGCCACTTCAGGTAAAGGCAAAGTCTTCCCAGAAAAGTACCCATCAAAGCCTGAAGCACTTTGGAGGGGGTTTTCTTCTGGGTTTGTTCATTCCATGGAGCTGCATGGTCCTGCTGTACCACATGTTAGGAGGGCAGCCCTGGGACGCAGTTGTGGAGTGTGGCATGTGGGTGTCGAGTCACCACATCTGACTGTAATCCCAGCTGCCTGCTAGGGGTGGAGAAGTCACCCTGCTTTGCCAGGCTGCTCTCTCAGGCTCCAGGCAGTCTAGGACAGGTTGCCGGAGCTGGTCAATTCCTGTGAGCTCTAAATCATGGAGGTAAAATGAAATGGCTTTAGATGGAAAGGGAGATTCTGTGGATGAGTAGAACCAGGGCTTTCCCATCACCTGCATTTTCTTTCTTTGACACAGCCTTGAAAGCTCCCTGAGAAGGGGCAGTTTTCAGGTCCCTACCAGAGACAGAGCTCACAGAGCTGCTGTGGTCTCCTGCCATGGCACACTGCATGTGGACAGTCACCAACACTTGCACTGGTGACCAAGGGCTGAAGCTCCCAAACCTCCTGACCCTTTCCAGCCTCCCACCAGTCCATTCTGGGCTTTGAGCTGTGCCTGCTGCCATGCAGAGACACTGAAGAATGGGCTTCTCCAGGATTTTAGACTCCTTGGGCCCCTTGCTCCATCCATGGCTCTGCTGCCCGTTCCTCACCCAGGATTTCTGCGGATTTGGAACAAGCACTGTTGTTCCATAAGGTTATCCCATAGGCCACAGGAACAAATGGGGATGCTTTAGCAGGTCCAGAGAGGGCTGAGACTTCTGTCATATCTGTTGAGGACCTCAGGGTATCACACACTGCCCTAGTGAATTTGCCAGCCCACAGAGGTGTGTCTCAGGGCTCACACCAGAGAGGCTGCTGGCTTTTATGCAGCTGATAAAGAATTCTCATGCAGGAAACTCCAGTCATGCGTGCTGTCTGCCCTGCTGGCAGGCAAAGTCCAGCAATTTAACACACCGGGGTGAAAGTGTGCCATCGAAGCATCTGTGCTCCACGCATCACCATGGTGCCTGCAAGCTTCTGGGTGATGCTTCTACCTTCCCTTTTATCTCATGGTATGCCTTTTTCCAGGTCATGTCTTAAAGTAAAACTACAGCATCATGTTACAGCAGGGATTTCAGCAAGGTGATTTCATGCCTGCTGGCTACAAAAATATTGTGAGTTGTTTCCTGGTAACTTGAGGGGCTTCTAGGGACTTCAGATTCCGGGACTGAAGGTATTTCTTCAGGCTGAAGGGGAAGAGGGCAACACTGACAGCGATGGAGTAATTGGCCTTTACTGCCATGATGATGTAATCAGCATAAATAACAGACAAAAGTTTGCACAAGATGAGTCACTTAATGTTGATATCAACCGTGGACAGAGGCAGCATGTCAGTCTGAGTGTAGCAAAGCATGCACGCTTGGGCATGGCCTATCTGCCCATCTCTATTTGTTGAAATCACAAGCATGGCATTTAATGGTCTTTCAGGCTCTGAGCAGTGTCACCTGTGTCCACTTTTAGTGGCCATGAAAGCCTTGTTTTATTCTCTCAGTACAGAGAGAGGTGGTGTAGGAACATTTCCTGGATATTTTGTGGTTGCCAGTGTAATCAGCTTGCCGTTCTTTGTCATGGAGTCACAGAGAAAGTGTGCAGCAATGATGTGTGGTTGATAGTGCTTTAGGGCCCAACCTCTGGAGAAAGGGAGAAGGGTTAAACAACATTAGAGAGCCAATTCATGTTTGGTGTTTTTAACTGATCACATGCAAAATCACTGGCTTTTCAGGATTAAAAAGAAAAGGATGGGAGGATCTGGAAATCACTCCCCAAGTGTAACAAGGTAGGTGAATTTGCTAACTATGGGTGCCAAATACATTACTGAAAATTTACAGGGCCAAGTGCACGTGTTTAATGTCACTAAATTAATTTGGTATTTTTATTATCTTTTAGGTTTTTCAAGTTGAATAATGACAAGGTTTTTGCCACATAAAAAGTTCACTATTCGATTTTTCAGTATTTAAAAAAAATCATTCATAGTTATAAAATCAGTGAATAAGAGAATATAAACTGGCTATATAAATCAGACATCATCAAAAAGATATTTTAGTTCCCCAGAAAGCCAGGATTTTGAGAATTTCTGTCTCTGTCAGAAAAACTGAGAAATTTAGCACCTGGAGGGGCTGAAATCCCCCTTTTCCCCACCCAGCTGCATGGTGTCCTAAGACAGTCTTTAAGACCAGCACCAGAAAAGGTGCAACACTGAGAAACTGCACCAGCATTTCTCATCACATGCAGAAGAAATCATCATTACTAATCCCTAAGGTCATAACCTTTAATAGAACTTCATTCCTTATTCATTGCTTAGTTCTTCCAGACTTTCTCATCTGCTAATCTGCTAATCCTCTGCACTGATGATGGCTTCCATCTTTGTGCCTTCAGTAAGTTACATTAGTGCATGCCTGGTTTTTGCACCAAGACAGAGCAACAAGGAGAAAGAGGGGTGCACCTGGCTCTGCAAGGAGCAAGGAGAAAGCAGAAGACAAGGACTGGAGGAAACAACAGAAAGGAGGAATGCAGAGACTCATACACATCTCCATCTGGTCAGATCTCCATGGTGAGAAGGATCAGCAAGACCCTCGCTATAGCTACAGTGGAAATCGTGTGGTGTTTTCCAGGATAAGAAATGGAGGAAGGAGCTTAAATTCTCCCAAACTGAGGCAGCCCAGGTGCTGGGACCAAGAGCACAGCAGCCAGGTTGTTTCCTGAATTGCAGGTGAAGAGTTAATGACCTGTAGGGCTTTGCCGGCTGCAGGAGTAGTTGGTGCAGGAAGGACACCCTTGTGCAGGCCTGTGACACCATCATCTCTGGTTCAGCACTCCAGACTGCAGTCAGAGCAACAGGCCTGGCTGCCTGCAAACAGCTTCTCTCTCAGATTTCAGGTCACACAGGCAAGATTGAAGATGGAAGATTATCCATTTATAAAAGTCTCTCTCCAGACCTTCTGAGAACATCAGGCTGTACACAACAGATCACATCACTCTGGCTTTGTCTCCCTCACCTCCACCTCTTTTACTTTTGAGGGATATTCTCTGTTGTGAGTGCTGGTGCTACGCTGCTTCCAAAGAGGCTGGAAGGTAGAAACACAAATCCACCACAGGGAACAGATTGGTCAAGTCTTTGCTGGACGCCTGTCCCAAGGGCTAGGAGGGGACTCTGCATCACCCCCTTGGCCAGCCATAACTGGGCCAGCACTGCGCCGAATCCACTCGCCCACAGCCCAGGTGCTTCAGCAGATCAGAATCCTTGCACCAGCTGGAGCTCCTGCCCAGGCTGCTGCAGCTCTGGGGACATGGTGGGAAGGGGGATCACTGAGGAGCTGCAGACACCTGCTGAGCATGAGAAGTGAAAAAAGGCAGAAGTGCAGACAAACATAACCCATCAAGGCAAGTGAGTGTGAAAAGAAAAAAACAATTAATAGAGGAGAAACAGGAAAATATATTTGACGTGTTGGAGAATTAAGGAGAGACACAGAAAGATGCGGTAGCAAGTGAAAACTAAAGAGCAAATACCACACAGGAGTAATGGTGAAGACAGCAGACACAATAGGGAAGTAGAGTGCAGGGCTAAGAGAGAGAAAAAACAATTGCATTCAGAGCAGAAGAAAAGAGAGTGACCTGGAAATTTATTCCAATAGCAGGAAGAGGCTGGGCTGTGCAATTTGGGGCTCACTGTTAGAGCTGACAAACCTGCCAGCAAGGGTGGATCCAGAGGACAGAAAGAATGCTTGGATAAAGCTATGAGATGTGGAATACAAGGTGGAAAATATCTAGTAGGGAGTGTGAAGGAATCCACTAGTGACCTCTCATTTCATGACAAACAACATAGCAACTGAATTGGACCACGAATCAACTAAAAATAGAGTAATGGTACAAAATAAAAGGAAGACAAAAAAGAAGAATAGCAAACAAGACTAATGCCTATACTTAACAAAGGAGAAAGAGCGATCCAAACAGCTGCAGGCCTGTCAGTCTGATGTTAATAGTATTCAGTTAAAGAGTAATGTAGCACATGGACAGGAAATTGGAAGTGGGATAAAATATAGTCTATTATGTCTGACTAACCTGATGATAGTTAAAAACCCTTTCTGTAAATCTATAGGCCCTGTGTGTAGTCCAGGGAAGCAGTTGGGAACCTTGGGACCAATTGGGAACCTTGGTAGATGTTGTGCCAGAAACAAGCACAGGAATTTCATGTGGGAAGGAGTGGTTAAGGTCAAGATGAAAGCAGAGCCTGGTGAAAAGGAGCGTATCAGGACACGCAGAAGGTTACTACTGAGGTACTTTGTGGATATTTGTATAAATTGATTTTGATAAGGACTGGCACAAATATTGGGTGTAATCTGATGAAATCAGAATGTTGTGGTGCATTGGCACTGTAGGGGAAAGTAAAGGAATGCTGTACCACCAAAAAAAGGCATGACAGTCACTAGGAGTGCAGTTCTTCATTCTAGGGACTTTGTGAGCTGCACGCACCTGAAGAAAAGTTACAGGAATAACCAGCCACAGGGTGACTCTGAGCTGTCACTGCAAAAGGGACTGAGAAGGGCAAAGGCAGCCCTGGCTGTATCCAGATGGGGAATTCTCACCAGGTGAGCACAAAATCTGATCACCCATCTTCAGGAGAGGGAATTTGAACAGCAGCACAGCCAGAAGAGTTACCATGGAATTAGGTGCAGGGACAGGCTGGGTAGTAAGAAAACACTGGAAAAACTTGTTTAGTCTTCCATGTAATGGGTGAGAGGAAGATGATTGCTGTCTACAAATACATTGGAGCATAAATACCAAGGCAAGGACCTATGTGAGATAAAGGACAGCATTGGCACAAGAACAAATGGATATTAACTGTCTGTGCATCAAATTAAGCTGGAAATGAGGAGATGATTCCTAACAATTAGAATAGTGAACTCAGAAATTGCCTTCAGATCAGACGAGCACGAGACAAAGCCCAGCCACTTTTTTAAGATGAAGCTTGATAAGTCTGTGAAGACAACACAGGATGAAGTGGTGCCGAAAACAGCACGCAGTCAGACTTAACGTCTCTGTGGTGTCCTTCTGTCCTGCATTTCCAAATGCTCGTGGTAGCTGTTGTGGTGTCACTGGGAAACAAATGAGCACATGTGCCGCTTCTTTACTGATCTGTAGTTGGTTGTTTCCTAAAAGTGTAAGACTGGAAGAGTCCGCCTTAAACCATCCAAGCTGAGGGCCTCCCGCTGACACTGAGCTCTCGTGAAGGTGCGTGTGCCACCACCCGTGAGTGACCAGGATGCTGTGCCTTGGCTGCAGACGATGACCCAGGCTTTGCCTGGCCTCTGCCCATTGTGCAGCTGGGGTGGGCCACGGCCACCCTGCAGGAACCCACAGGACCTGGACTCCCATTTGAAATAGATGTCAAGATGGCACTGGACTGCGACAGGACCGGGTCCTCCTCACGAGCACCAGAGGAAGCGGAGGTCGGTGTGACCGCGATGCCAGGGCCCTCTTCCTGCCATGCAGGGTCCCTCGATGCCCTCACCACCGACCCTCCACACTCCACCCAGACCCTGCCCAAACCCTCAGCCTCTTCCCAGCAACCTTCCATCTTTTCCCTCCTGTTCCTGCCCCTCCACCCCCTCGGCCTCCCTTCTAAACCCGCCCCAAAGCCCAGCACCCACCGCCCCACGGTGTCACGGAGCTACGCGGCCCCGGCCCCTCAGGCGCTGCCGGAGTGGGCGTGGCTACGGAATGGGCGGGCCGCGGCGCCAGCGCCGATTGGCCTCAGGGGGAGAGCTCCGCCCTTAAGGGCTGAGTGCTGGCTGGTGTAGGTGCTTGGCCTCCCTCTGGCCCTTGTTCTGGAACGCCGGTGGGAGGAGGAGGGGGTCACTGTCACCCTCCTGGTGGCAGCAGTAGCCTGGCTGCATGCTCACCTCAGGCTGGTGTGTGGTCATGCACAGGGGTCTGCACATGCTGGGCAACTGCAGGCTTAATAATCATGGCCAAGTGCTCATATGACCTTCCACAGGCCGTGCAGGACTTGGTCTATAGGTCTCTCATGTGGGCCTTTTCCTCTGTTGTAATGAAGGGGCAGTTGGGAAAGCTGCTTTTTATCTCTGTAACAGGCTAAATGAGACAGCATAAATACAAAGGCATTGCGACAGGAAGGGGGGGGAGGCTTTGGGGGTGGCAGGCTGTATGCCTTGGTGTCCAGGCTGCTTCCTGTAGGTGGGCTGTCAGGTGGTTTCCCTGTAACTGACCACCTTGGTTCTGGAGTCCTAAGGGCAGGAAGAAATGGGGCAAATACCCCTTCCTATGCTTGGTGGGCAGTGTGGGATAACACTGGGTGCTTTCCCTGCTAGCACATTCCCTCAGAGCATCTCTTCCCCTCTCAGAGGCCAGGACTGGCAGTGCAGCAGTGTATCCATACTGCTGTGCTGCCCCAAATTGACCACCTTCTCTTCTGCCAGAATGCAGCCAGGGCAGATTCCTAGCTGGATGGAGCTGACCTTCCCCCCAGACCTGCTGGGCAGCTTCTTGAGGATGGTTTAGAGTCAGTTGGCTGAGCCCTTGGGGCTTGACTGAGACTGCTGTGTCTTATCTCTTTCCTAGGAAACCCCTCTAGCTTGTGTGAGCTGCCCCTGACAGCTTGTTCCTGTGATAAGTAGCGTGATGCCAGCTGTTGTAGCATCTACTTGCTGCATCTCACTGTGGGGCTTGAGCCATGCCACCCACACAGCCTGGGCCTCTGTAGTTCTGCTCCGTGTTGTATTCTTGGCTCTCTTTTCTAAAAGCCTGTTAGATGGGGGGGGGTTATATGGTCCTCCAAGGCAGAAATGTAGTAAGGGAGAAAGTAAAGTTAAAACTGAGGCTAGGGTGATAAAAACTTACTCTGACCTAGAGCTGTCTCACACCATGTTTTGGAGGTGAAAATAAGTGAGATTATCCGAGGTGCTTAGTGTCTCCGTTCTCTTCTGGTGGAGACAAGCTCTACATCTCCAAGAAGCTCTGAACCTGGCATCAGAAGTAGGTGCATTGCTTGGTGCTGTCCTTGAAGGTTGTGGGTGAACATTTTCCCCTTTCCTTCTGGGGTTACAGCACAGTCAACACTCAGGCTGAGATCCTTCCTTCAGGAAGAAGCTTACAGGAGATATTGGGAGTGGTGCCTGTGATGGCCCAAGAGATCTGTGTTTCTGTGCTTTTGTATTGGATTTGTGCTAGTGTGTGCCCTACTAGCTGTCAGATGGTGGGAATACTTGTGCTGGAAAGTCTGGTTCTTGCCAGTCAAACAGGTGAGGCAGCCTGGGCTGCTGCAGGGAGGAGCTGGTCCCCAGGAGCCAGAGCTCTTCCTTGCAGGAGTTGTGGGGCTGCTGTTGCTCAGAGATGACAAGTTGCAGCTGCCACAGCCAGCTCCCAATCAGCAGGCCTGTATCTTCAAGCTATCTGAGACTTTAGTTGCATGGTGGAGGTGGTAACTGGGCTGATGGTTCTTGTTTTGCTTTAGTGTCTCACAGGGTATTTAATTTCTGGTTGATTATTCCCTGTGGGATGGATCAGGGTGGTAAGCTGTCACTGTGGTAGCAGGTTCTCTAGCTTTACTGCAAGGAGTGCTCTTACTCTGTGGATCAGATCAGCTAGCTTGTTCTCATGGTTTGTTAATAGATTTGCTCTGTATACATGCAGATTTATATCTTGCTGCTTCTGCTTAACTTTAAGAGCCTTTCCCTGTCTGTACAGGACCAGCAGTAGGAGCAACAGCCCTGGCTTTCTGTGATCCATCTACACCTGTGTGGAGATAATCAGGCCTGATGCTTCTTTTGTGCATAGAGGGCTGTGAACCCTGTTAAAGGTGGTATCTATTAAGCCTTATGCCTGTTGGAATCTGTGGTGCATATACTGTGCTGCTGGAGTCTGACATCTCTAGCACTGTCAGAGAACATCCCTTTCCCTTGTTAGAAGGTGGTTATGTGACTTGGTGTGGAGGGTAGGGGGGCACAAAGCTCATGTCATGGTGAGTTCTAGGCAGTGACCCCTTGTCTCAATGAGATGTGGCTCTGGGTTTACACTTTGGGCTTCTTGAATAGTCCAGGTAGAGCTGTTGGTGGGATTCTATGAGTCTTTCCTTTCTGCATCTTGCTTTGTAGACTTCTAATGTCCATCTTGTCTTGGCGTGCCTGTCCAATTAATGCACAGGCCTGTATGGGACAGAGCACAGTAATCATTACTGTGTAATGATTACAGACACTGCTTTCAGAACAGAGGTGAAGCCTTGTAGTGAGGCACTTGCATGATGATTAAAAACCACAGAGATGAATGCTCTGGTACAGTCTGTCCCACCTCCAGATAGGGGTGCTCTGTGTTTCTCTGCTAGAGGGTTTTAGGAGGCTTGACTTATTTCTAAAAGCAGATTTCAGAGGAGTTGGCCTTGCTCAGTCTAGCCCTGCCCTCCTCTCTCACCTGCCTAGTTTTGTCCTTCCCAAGTGTGGTCTCCAGTGCACCCTGGGGGGCTGCTGGGTGGCATCACTTCAGAGTGAGCCCAGCCATTTCCCTCTCCTTTCCGCCTCACCTGGTGCTGCACAGGGGAGTGGATGCAGCTCAGTGTGGTTAGCTTGGAAAGAAAATATCTTATTTACCACTTCTTTAGGTATCTCATCCTCTTTTCTTCCTTCACTTTAGTCCTTTGTAGTAGGAGTCTGACACTGCTGTGTCAGATTTTCTGCCTAATGTTGCCTTTTTCCCTGACTGTTCTCATCTGTACCGATATCAGTACCCTGAATATGCAGCCACCAGTGTTGAGTGTGATAAGGAGTTAGCCTACTCTAACAGCTTGCCTAAGCAGTTTGGGGAGGTGCTGTCCCTGAAAAAAACCACTGTGTGCTGTGTATATAGACCTTTTACTGCAATGTATGTTCTTGTGGGACCTTGAAGTCTGGTTACCTGCCTTGTTTTTTGTACAAGGTTACTAGTACCCTATTGCATTGGGCTTGCTTCTTCCTCTGAAAGCTTGTGAGGTGCCACGTTGACTGCCTGGGCTCTGGAGTTTGCCTGCTAACTTGGGAGTGTCCTCTTGCTCTCCCTGCTTCCAGTAAGCATGGGACTGGGAAAGCTTAATCTCTGTTTGTAGGATGCTATCCAAAGGCCTCAGGGTTTTACAGCCACCGTGTGAGAGGTGGGGTATTAACACACATTTGGTGTTGATGGGGAAACTCTTCAACTTCAGACAGGTCACTTCCTGCCACTTGGTCCGGGAGGCACACTGGCTCCAGCTCTTGCAAAAGCTGTCACATATCATGAGATTGAGAGTTTGCATCCCTTTTCTGGGAACAGTCCTCCTATAGTGACTTCAAACTGTGCTAATGCAGAGCATATGGTACCAGGCTGTTAGCCATGTCCTTTGACACTCAGAATGAAGTAGCTGAGCCAGAGGAAGTGACAAATGGATGTGATTCAAGTAGGAAAACTTTTCTGGTAGTGTTAGCATGAAGTTTCCTTGTAGACTTTGTAGTTGTGTGGTAGGCTGAGAGTTCTGGGACTGGTTGTTCTCAAACTCTGATCAATCAGAGTCTGTCCTGAATCCTCAGAGCCAAGGTGCCAGGCTAGGAGAGCTACTTCCCTGGTAGGACTTTTCATGCTTAAAACATAGCAGCCCGCCTGCCAGGCTGGTCTTCTGTGCCTGATGAGCTGGTGCACAGGCATCTGTTTAGGCTGTGACTTCTTTTGAGGGGAAAAACGTGACTTCAGTAGCATGTGGACAACAGTGCCTTAACTGAGTCTTCAGTCAGATGGCTGAACCATTAGCAGTAATGCAGGTGTACTTGAATACACTCTCCTGTTGAGTGCTTGGTACATGTGCTTGAGCTGGTGTCCTGAGATGCTGGGTGAAGCAAGCATGCACTCTTTGGTTACAGGCCTCTCTCCCTTTCACCTGGACACAGAGTGGCAGAAGGAGGAGATTCAGATCCAGCTGTGCTTCACTCACTAACTTTAGACTTAGAGTGGTCCCACTGCAGACTTGATAAAGAACAGGGTTTTGCTGCTTAGGAATGGCCAGGCTCCTTCTCCATCTTGTGTTTTCAGGGCAGACATGTTTTTTGTGTTCCTCATCTTGCTGGATTCACTTGTACATAAGCTCAGAAAAGCTTCTCTTGGTGCTGTGACTGATGGTTCTTGGTGATGGTTTGAGGTGCCAGCCTCAGTGTGTGCTGTGCCTGGTCTGGGTCCACCAGACTGTGGGTTAGTCAGTCCCACTCTTCTGCAGTGGCACCTGCTCCTTGCAGATGCTTCAGAACCACAGATCCCTGTAGCTCTGCTGGGAAATGTACTCCCTGGGTGCATGGAGCTGCATGCAGGCCTTGCTGGACACCACAGTGACTTTCTGAAGCTCCAAGAAGCTGGGCAGGAGCTGAGGGAGGAAAATGCCCCTTTCTGAGAGGCTGTGGATCTCAGAGCTGCAGCAGGCCTTGCTGCCAGCTTGTAGGTCAGGGATGTGGGTTAGTTTGATATCTGGCCAACTGGTTATCTCCTGACCTTTGAGGGCTGTTAATCCCCTGGTAGCATCCCAGGGGCCAGGCCTGCTTTAGCCAGTTCAGCAAGGGCCCTGTGCCAGCTATCCCTGGGGTAGCAGCTCTGTGGCCACATACCAGCATGTATTGGTGCTGCCTGTAATTAAACAAGTGGGAAGATTAGGGTGGCTTGCTTTCACACTTATTACAGAACTGATTTCTGACTCAAATGCTGATGGAGTAGGAGTGTTGGGTGTTGGATGGCTGGAGCTGTCTGTCGCTTGCAGACGGTTTCTGTGGGAGAGATGTACTCTGTGAGGCTGTTAACAAAACTGCATTGAGCTCTAGTCTCTGTCAGTGTCACGGTTCACAATGCTATGGGCTGCTGGGGCTGGTTATAAAGGGCCTTGCTATTCTTGCTGAAGTTGCACTAATTATACTGTATAGCTTGTTGGAAATATGCAGTGTACATTGCTTGGCGTAAGCAAATATCTAATCCTTGATGTTGGTTACTAGGGCAGAATGAGGCATGATAATCTGGTTTGCACGTAGTGAGAACTTTCTCTCTGAGATGGGGAAGTGACACTCTGTTGGTGAGAGGTGAAAGGAGATGTGTTGCAAGGTCTCTAGGCATTGTGCAGGGTGTGTTTGGGCTCCTCCAAAGTGGGGAGTGCCACCTGACCTCTTTATAAGAGCAGTGGGGTTCCCAGTGCTTTGGGATTCTTGGACCTGTTTGCATAATTTCTTTTCAGCTGTTCAAAGCTCAGCTTTGGGTTCCCTATCTCCTCCCAGCTCCTTGCTGAAGAGGATCAGGATCCAGGAGTAGTCAAAGGAGAGTTAGCATCTCCCTTGTGCAGAGAGAACAGGTACCAACCACTGAGCTGTGAACACCTGCAGTGTAGCATGGAGGGCAGTCAGAGCAGATGACTGGCTGGGTGGTGAACCCCTCAAAGTGCAGAGGGACATCAAGTGCTGGTGTTCTGCTGAGAGGAAGTGGCAGAGGTGAGTCCAGGTTCTCAGACACTTGCTGCTCTGTACTGGGAAAACCCTGCCTGCAGCAGAAAGGCTGGCATGAAGTCAGGCAGGCCAGTGCACTTTGCATCCTCCTGCTTAGTGATGGTAATGCTTGGGCCTGCTCCACAACTCCCCTTGGCAGCTCAACTGCCAATGCTCCAAGGCCAGTGGCTGCCCCTTGGGAGACAGGATGGGGAGACATACCTGCATCTGCTCATTGAGCAGGGTGTCCTTCAGTCTCTGTCTAATGCAGGATCATGGAGCATGCCAGTGTGGATACCAGGTCTTGCAAACACCTGAAGACCTCAGGGCTTCCTGTGAGATGTGCTTGCTCTGTTAGCTGAGTGCAGCAGGATGTTGTTCTGCCTAGGGAAGCTGTGAAAAATGCATAGGTCCTCTTCATAAGGGCCTGTAGCATAATCCTGCTAATTCTGCCCTGGTAGAAGTCCTGGTGCTTGCCCAGAGCCCAAGTTCAGGACAAGTTCCGTGCCTCCTGTCTCCCTGTGGGATGTTTGGCTGTAGGAGTGCTGGAGGTGCTTCACAAGATACATCAGTAAGAAGAGGGACTTGTTGCTGTTCACACTGGTGGGGATTTCTGTGCTGGGCTGAAATGTGCTTTTCCCACTGCTTGGGGGAATAGTTGTCTGGGTTCAGGCCTGCTGCCAGGATGACCCTTGTCTGCTGTGTGGTCTGTGCAGCCTTCAGCAGGTCTGTCAGGGCAAAACTGCAGTGTGGGTCTTCTCACCTGAGTCTCCAGTGTTTTGGGACCCCAAATTGCTGGAACTGGAGTCCTAGTTGGCCAGTGGTGCTGGAGCCTTGCTGGCAGCAGGGTCAGTAAAGTAATCTGTAGTGTCTGAGCTCAGGTGTTTTTCTGAAGTGTGAGATATAGCTCTGAGTTTGTGGTCAACTGATACTATCTTCTCATCCTAGTCTGCCCAAAATAGGCAAGTACTCTGCAGGAGTTTTGTCTCTGCCCTGGACCTGTAGTAAGGCTGACTCATTCAGCTTGATAAGATAAACATAGAGCTTAAATAGTCAGGTACCTGTACTGGGAACTAACTCTTGAGGGCTCCTCAATCTAGCAAATAAAGGTGTAGCTGGATGTAGTGGTTGAAAGCTGAAACGAGACAGACAAGTTTAGAGCTTGCTCTTAACCATTAAAGCAACATAAAACTCAGCACCTTTCAGGACTTGCATTTCCCACAGCTGGAGCCTTGAGTAGCTCTCAAGGATGCTGTAGTTCCTGCTACACTTTTCTGGCCTCTGCTACATGTGGAGAGTGGATAATCTTGGCAGTGCTCAGGACCTTAAATATTGCTTGTAGTATCACCGTGATACAAGTGAGTATTGTTTTCCATTAAACCTTCTGAAACCTTGGGTTGGGAAGGTGAGCATCTCTTCTGATGCTGGTGCTCCTGGGGTGTGGGGATCATTCCTAAGGGGGCTTTAGCCTATTACGGCAGCTGCCTCTGAGGTGGCATGAGGAACCACCTTCTGTGCTTGCTGAAGCACAGAAAAACTTCTGGTCTCTGTCCTTGGGGTGCATGGTTGTGCAGGCTGCTCTGGAGCCTTGCTTGGAGAAATGGCTACTTTGTGGAGTGGGGGTGAAGGGGGAGACCTGTTCCACCCTACTACTGTTGCAAAGAGGTCGGGTGGCACTCCACACTTTGGAGGACACAGACAGTATGACTGGGCAGGCACAGAGCCAGCACTGTGCAGTAACAGTGATTTGCAGAGACTGGTGAGCCAGCATGGTGTGTGCCAGGCCCCTGTGAAGATTGCCGCCACCCAAGCCTTGGTAGCACTGCATAGGTAGTGTCTGCTGCTGTCCTGCCTGCCTCCCAGCTAGAGCAAAGGGGACTTTGAGCTCTTTCTCATCCAGCGAAGCTGAAGGAGCAATGCTGATGCTGCCTGGTGAGGGCTTGAGGAGACAGTAGCTGCTGGATACTCTCAGCTGGGACCTTACTGGGAAGGTTACTTTGACTTCAGCCTCCTGGCTGCTGGTCTGGGAGAGGCTGTGTGCTTCCTGGTGGCAGCAGCAATAAACCTCCTGGGGAGACTGGGCTGGGGACCTGTTTCCCCAGGCCTGTGCGTGGGCAGCGATTCATGTGCACCTTTGTGGAGGGATTCGTAGGTGGAGTGTCTAGTAGAAGCTACAAGGAATGCCTCCCTCGCAGGTGGGTGAGTCAGATGAGGCTGGGCCTGTGCTCTGCCTTTCTTCCTGCTGCTCTGGTGTCTTGTGGGCTGGGGAGAGGTTGGGGAGCACAGGGGGCTGGGTGAGGATGTTTCAAACTTGTCTGCAGCAGCAAGAGCCTGGGCCCTTCCTGCTATTCTGGAGAGCATCTGTCTGGATTGCTGTCTGGTGTGTGCTCATACTGAGTCTGAGCAAGTGTGGGGAGTCCTTCTCCTTCTCCCTGTCTTTCTCCCTGCAGCTTTATATCCTTCTCCTGCAGCTTTCTCTACTACCTGGGGATACTGTCTGCTGTCTGGAAGGGGAGTGGAAATGTCATTGCCAAGCAGGATGCACCTAGTTTCTGAGGTGCTGGCTTATGGGGTGGTAGTTCTTGTCAGAAAGGTTTTGTGCAAGGATGTGAAACGAGGAACTCTAATGGCAGAAACTGTTTCTGAACCGATGGCTTTCCTTCCCCATGCAGTAGGTCTGCCAGTGATGCTGTTGGTTCTCTGGCAGGGATCAGTGGGCAGGAGCCCAAAGCAGCTCATAAAAGCACTGCTCTGTAGAGTGTGGGCCAGCTCTGCTTCTCCCTTGGAGATGTTGCAACAGGGTCAGGCAGAGCAGTGTGCTGGGTGGGTATGGGTGGCAAGGCTGGTGGAATCATGATTGTGGATGATAATGCTTGAGCCTGTATAGCAGGAGCAAGACTGAGGCTGGAGATACAGTGCTTAGGTTGGAAGCTTTCCTAGATGGCTTGAAATGTTAGGATCCTGCCTTAGAAGGACTGCTGGTGGTGGACGATGGCATTCCCAGCGGAGTAGGGGAGAAGGGGCCAGGCTCAGTGAGGAGAAGTGGGGATCATGTGGCTCAGCTGTAAACTGGATGCTTGTGTGTGATCAGCTGAGAGTAATGCTGGCCAGATACACATGACTCTACCTCTGAAGCTGTGCATGAAATTTGCTGATCTGCAGGGCTGTGCTTTGCAGGCTGCTCTCCTGGGAAAACAGCTGCCTGATCTGCCCTTCCTTTTCCCACAGATACTGCCACCACCATGGAGGGGATTGTGACCATGTATCAGGACTTCATGAAGAAAGCAGGTGAGTGCTGGGCTCTGCCCTACTGCAGGGCAGGTGGCATTGCATGCCTTACTGCCACAGGTGCAGGGGTGTGATCTGTCATCCATGAAGCAACCTGGGTCTAGGTGCATCCTGTCTCTGCCCTGACACAGCTCTGGTTTTTTTGGGCTGCTGTCTTGCCTTAGTGGCTGTGCAGGCCCTTTTGGGGTACTTGTGCTCTCCTGGGCAGATCTCCAGGCTGCCCTGCAGTGTAGCTTCAGGCTGTACCTTACTGAGTCTGGCTGGCTTCACCAGTGTCCGTTCTCCCTCCCCTACCTACACTCCTGTTGCAGGAGAACAGGCCATGTTCTTGCCTCTGCTCTGGCATCAGATTGGGGTGAGGATGCTAACTGCTGTGCAATGTGGCTCTCTCTGCAGACCCCCGCATCGCTGATTATCCACTGATGCAGTCCCCGTTCCTTGTAATGGGCATCCTTCTGGCATATGTCTACTTTGTACTATCCTTGGGTCCCCGGCTAATGGCCAACAGGAAGCCTTTAAACCTGAAGAAGTTCATGGTGCTATACAACTTCTTTCTGGTGGGACTCTCACTTTACATAGTCTATGAGGTGAGTTGTAGGCTGTAGTAGTCTGGCATACCTAAAGCAGTGTATGCAGGCTGCACGGGTAATAGGGAACCTTTTTGCAGGCTGTTCTCTGCACTTCTGTGCACGGCTTGGAAAGTGTAGTGGTGATGTGTTGGGCCTCACCCTGATGGTGCTCTTGTTGCAGTTCCTGATGGCAGGGTGGCTTACTGGGTACACCTGGCGATGTGACCCTGTGGACTTCTCGCAGGACCCCAAGGCCCTCAGGGTGAGTTCTCATCCCTCTCCTCTGACAAATGGGGATGGCCTTTAGTGCTTCTGTTAGGACAGCAAGGTCGTAGCTACTTGCCTCTCCTGAGGCAGAGGACTTAGTCCTGGCTCTTGGGTTCACCCCAGGGTTACTGTATGGAGACTCTTGGTCACTGGGTGTGTTCAGGCTGGGGTGGGTCTCTAATGTTAACCTGCTCTGTTACAGATGGTCAGTGTCGCTTGGCTCTTTGTCTTCTCCAAGTTCATCGAACTGACAGACACGGTGAGTGAGTTACTGAGGAGGCCTTGTTGCTGCTTGCTGGACAGGGAGATGGGACCTTGTATACTTGGGCTAGATGCTTTCTTCAGCCCTTCCAGTCTAATCTGGTAGTGCTTCTGTCTGGCATCACTGCCAAGGAAGCCACTCCGGGCTATTGCAGAGGCTGCTCTTGGCATGTTACAGCTCTGGAAGGTGTGGAATGACCTAATGTGTGGTGGCAGTGAGCTTGGAAGGGGATGAGGGGGTGAAGTATCGATAAGACATTGAATTAGTGGCCCAGCCTGTTCTAGCTGCTTTCAGGACTGCAGATGCTTGATGCTGTTGGGTTCTCATTGCAGGTTATCTTTGTCCTACGGAAGAAGAATGAACAGGTCACATTTCTGCACCTCTTTCACCATTCAGTTCTGCCTTGGAGCTGGTGGTGGGGAGCTAAGTTTGGTCCAGGTAGGATAGAAACTCTCTGGGTGCACAGTTTAGGGAAAGGATGGGATTAGCCCTAGCATGCTGAGAAGGGCTTTTTGGCCCTGATGGGCTCCTATGAGTTTCTTGTAGTACTGATTGCTGCAGAGGATTGACTTAATGCTAATGAAAATCTGTTTCAACAGGGGGAATGGGCTCGTTCCATGCTATGATCAATTCCATGGTGCATGTTGTCATGTACTTCTACTATGGGCTTTCAGCAGCAGGACCTGCCTTCCAGAAGTACCTTTGGTGGAAGAAGCACATCACAGCCATCCAGCTGGTGAGTCTGTGCTGTGGAGCAGAGCATGTGCCCTCAGCCTCTGATGTGAGGGGCAGGACAACCCTTGTACCTATGAAAGGTGCAGCCAGCAGCTGTAGCTGTCTCCTCTGTAGCCTCACTCTGGGTTTCTAACAGCTCTGGCGTACTGTGGGCCTCTAATAGCCCTCCACAGCCTGGTTAGGGTGTGGGTGCTGCTCAGCCTACTGCCCCTGGGCTGCAGCGGTGTTGGGAGGGTGAGAGGCACATGCTGCTTAGAGACTTGTCTGCCTCTTCCAGCTGCTGCTGACTGTGCCTCACCCTAAGGACCTCTACTTCAGAGTGGGAAAGGAGCCTATTAGTTTTGTTTAGAAAGGAGGTCACTGGTGGGATCCCTGACCCTGCTCCCACAAATAACTTGTCCCTGCTCTGCCTTACTCCCAGGCACAGTTCGTGATTGTCTCCATCCACATCTCCCAGTATTACTTCATGCCCAGCTGCCAGTACCAGTTCCCTATCTTCATCCACCTCATCTGGATTTATGGGACCATCTTCTTCATCCTCTTCTCCAACTTTTGGTACCAGTCCTACACCAAGGGCAAACGGTTGCCCAGGGTGGCTCAGCAAGCAGCCCAGCACAATGGTAGCAGCATCCATGAGAATGGCACTGTCACCAACGGCAAGGTCAAAGCCAACTAGAGGGCAAGGCCCTCCCAGAGCCAATGAGAGCCCCGGGGCAGAGGCAGCTGGGACCTGTTCCCCTGCTCCTGGGTGCCACTAGCCAAGTCAAGTGCCTACAGACTGTTGTACCCCTGTGCCCAGCCCTGCTGTCCTCTGTCTGCATGCCCAGCCCCTCTGCTCTGAGCAGCCGTGGGCAACTTCTCCAGTTCCTGGAAGGGCTCGTGCGGTTTCTCAGTGTTGCTGAGCAGAGAGGCAGCTGCCTGCCTCACAGCTGTGGGGCTGCAGTCCCATTCCAGTGTTTCCAAAGGAACTTCCCCCAAGTGCCTACATCTGGCCCTTCTGCCTAGGGGCCATTTCCTTCTGAGTAGGACCAAAAGAAGAGACTGGTCCCTGTCCTGGTGCCCTCTCCTCTACCCTGTCTCATCACAGCCTGTGTGGGTGAGCAGACTTGTCCCTGGCTGCCTGCTGCTGCCAGCTCAAGTGTGAGTGCTCCTGCTCTACCATGCCTTGTGCCATTTTGTTCCATGCCACAGTGCTGCATGTCCCTTCTGGTCCCTGTGTGTCCAGGTGTGGGGTCCTGCCCTGGTGTATGTGCTCAGGTGTGGCTGTGGAGAATGTAGGGGCAGCGCGTATGGGGCTCGAGGGCCCAGCCCTGCCCAGTACAGTACACGTGCCCTGTGCCTAGTACGTAGTAGGGGTTGTGACAGCCTGAAATGCCTCACCCACGTGCTGAGCCCAGGTTGCCTTGCCTTTCTGTGCCTAGGCTGGGTGCTTTGTGTGCACTTGAGCCACACTTGCCTGATCCTGTATAGCAGCTGGAGGCTTGCTCTAGAATGGGGGAGGCCAAGCTCAGCCTTGACTTGGACCACTTCCATTCCTGCAAACTCAAGACTTGAGCAATAATTGCCCCTAGAATCAGCTCCTGGGCTCTCCTGCTTGGGACCAGCCCTGGACTGGCCCAGCAGGAGCACAGCAGAGGATGGCTGTAGTGTGCCCTGCTGTGGTGTAACAGCGAGCACCTCTTGCCTCTGTGGATCTGACTGGACCTGGGTGAAGGTGTATGCTGCCCTACAGCAGGGCAGTGCAGCAGCTCTCCTGGGCCTGGCACCCATCACCTGCTCTGACTGTAACCAAAACCATGCTGATGGCCTTGAGGCTGAGGTGAAGGAGCCAGGCCCTGTCAGATTGGGCTGCTCTTCTATCACAAATAAACAGACAGAAGGAGAAATGGCTCTGCCCTCTTGTTTCCCTGTCTTGATGTGCTCAGAAGTTGTTCCAGATGCTTGGTCCTACCCAGTGTGGTTGGAGGCAGGGCTGGGAGAAGCAGCTGGCATAGCAGGTTTGTGTGTTGGGGGGAGAGGGTGATAGCAGTGTGCTGATGAAGCAGATGGCAGATTATTTCCAAGGGCTTTGGTAGATCCGTGCTCAGGGCAGGAAATGTGTCAAGGCTCCTGTTGTGAAAGTGGCTCCACCCTGTGAAAGAATGGCTGGGGTGGAGTGTGGGTGTGGGCTGGGACCCAGGCCAGCAGCCCAGGAGGAGCTGCTGCTTTTCAGAAATCCTGGGGAGCTGAGGTGTGGCAGAGCAGGGAATAGAGACCCTGGAAACCTGGGTGATGGGGAAACAGCAGTCTCTTGCTTTCTGTATCTGCTGAAGCCAAAGCTGCTGCCATCTGTGATTGCCCCTGCAGCTTGGATTTGTGCAGAATGTAGCTCAGGTCGGTCAGAAGGAAGCTGATGTTGCTGCTGCCTTGCTCTTGCTGCAGAACTTCATCTTACCTGGCTGGGCTCTATCTCCCGACCACCTGGGACAGCCTGGCTTCCCTTCAGCGCTGTTAGGGTCAATTACTGCCTTCCCCATCACCTTGTGACCGGGGCCCTCCTGAGTGGAGAAGCCAGCCTAGGTGCTGAGTCAACCCTGGGAAGAGGGATGGGTAGCCAGCTGGGCTACTTGTGGCTGGAAGGAATGTATTAGACCAGCAGACCTCTAGAAGCTGAGTTTCACTGTAGGTTAGGTTGGGGAGTGGATGTCTAACCAAAGCCCTAGAGCAGGGCTTGGTGTGAGGGGAAAGCTCTGCTGACCCTTCGTAAGCTGCTCAACATCTCAAGGCCATACTCTGAAATGTAGGAAAACCTCTTTGTGTGACCTGAACTGGTGTCACCAATATACCAAACTGCAGTTGGCATCACCCTGTTTTACAGGGCTCAGCGCCCTTGTACATATGAAGCCTTAAAATGGGATCTGGCTGCTGCACTGGGTAGTGTTCTTGTTGCTGCTGCTTCTCTGTGGGCAAGGACTGGCAGGAGAGCTTGTTCTGGTCCCTGCTGAAGGGGCATGTAACATGATTTCAGTGCTCAGAATTCATCACTTCAGGAGCTGTAGGCTGACAGTCCAGCTGAGATGGAGCATTCCCTGTCTAGCCTCCTTCTCCCTTCACTGCCCTCCCCCCTCTGGCTCTTCATAAAGTCCTCTCTTTTGCCCAAAATAGTAACAATACTTTAAACTCCTTATGCTTGGCATTTCAAAGGAGGCTGTTCCCTACGTGTGCTTTACTCTCCCTTCCTCCAATTGTTCCTGTTAGCTGTGATCTTTTTCTATGGGCTGTGGCACTTGGTAATTTATATGCTGTCAGGGTCAGTCTGGGCTGCTGTTCTGAACCGATTTCACACCTTATATGGCAGCGTTTCCTGGGCCAGCTCCTTCCTCTGCTCCTCATTGCTCCAGGGCAGTAGGACCAGTATGGGGCCAAAGGAAGACAATGCAATACCATCACCTTCTGGTAATGCCTAGAGGACTTCGAAGGGGTGTGTAAATGCACAGCCGCTGGGGCTGGGTATGTGCTAAGGAGAGAGGCAAGACAGGCTCTGCTGTTACGCAGGAGTGAAGAAAATACACCAGCTTTCAGGCTTGTAAAGCCTTCCAGGGTCAGGAGCTACTGGAAGCGTTAATCTGCTGTGGGGCCACAGGGCCAGTCTGTGCTAACTCCCAGCATCATGCAGGGGTGTGGGGCAGGGACCTACAATCTTCTGGTGAAGAGTCTAATCTTGGGTGGGGGGCTCCTGACCCCTTCCCCATTACATCCAGCTGCTGTTCTCAGAGGTGCTTCTGAAGAGGAAGGAGAGCTTCTGCTTCCTCCTTGGATCTCCCCTGCTCTTCCCTGGGTGGCCAAAGGGGGATGCACCAACATCACTGCTGGGAAGGTGCTGGGCTCAGCTGCTGTAAGCTGATTTTTGAGACTGTGCTGCTATGGGTGGCAATAGGTGGGGGGCTGCTCTGGTGTGGGAGGGTGCATGCTGGCTGGCCTCCCCACAGCACAGGGTGGTGCAGCACTGCCCACCTTTGAAGGCTCCAGCTGGCTTAAGCCTCAGGAGGCAGAGCAGGAGCCTGGCGCCAGGTACAGCATGGTACTGTGCTGAGAGGAAGGTGAAAACAGTTAATAATAATCCACCCTCAGCTAATCACAGGCTGATGAGAGGCACAGGCTTTGTCAAGCTGCTTTGCACAGGCCAAGGTGCTAATCAGCTGCATGGTGTCCCCAGCAGCCCCTGGCTGTGCTGGTGCAACTGAAGAACAGGCTTGGTGGGTCTGGTGCAGCCCCACAACCCCAGACACTATGGCTCCAACATGCAGAGCAGCATGGCCACTGGGGCCACAGCTTTCTTGCTCATGTGAAGGCTCAAATATGCTCTCTGCAACTTGCACCAGCATAACTGAACATGGAAGAAATGCATTTTTCCAGGTGCTGGGGAATTAACCTCTACCAAATGTCAGCTTCCCTACCCTGAGCCTCAGCTTGGCACCAGGGCTTCCCCTCAGCAGGGAGGGTGGACAGAGATCAGGTCTGCTGGAAGGATGTATAACTGAGGGCAGTGTGCTGGGTTGATGGTGCTTTGGGTGGCTCTTGCATGATAGCCAAGCTGGCTTTGCAATGTAAACCAACCTTTTGTTTTGCATCAGGCTTCATGCCCTTGCCATCCCCTTTCTGGCCTTTGGGGTGACTATAGCTGTATGGTTCCAGCTTATGCCCCCCCTTATTTTTTCCAAATAGCATTTGGCTTCTAAATGTAGTACTAAACTCCCTGTAAAAGTAGCTATTCTAGCATGGAGCAGGCAGCCCTGGCTGCAGCACAGAGGCTGCATGTAGCAGAACAAGGCTAACTGCTATGTGCAGGTGACACTACAGCCCTGACTGCCAAGAACAAGGCCCTAGGCTGCTCTGGCACAGCTGGTCACTGCTTGCTGATTGCCCACAGAGGCCCACCTCAAGAGGCAGGACACAGACATCACTGTGCTTTTAGTTGAGCCTTATTCCTCCCCACCACAGCTGGCACCAAAGCAGGCAGGAGCTGGGCAGAGGGCACTGCTTTAGGCCCAGGCCACTTTGGAGCTAGTTCACTGCTCTGGGGAAGCTGAGGCAAGTCAGGGGTACTTCCTCCCTAACCCCACTGCAGGGCTAGAGCCCTGCAAAGTGTCAGTATGATACACTCTGATTAGGGATGGAGGGCTAGGAAGTCACCCTGGCTACAGCTTCCCCCTGTGGTGGAGCTGCTGTGCCTGTAGTCAGGAACAGACACAGAAGTACAGCCATGGCACAGCTGCCACCTCCTCCCAGGACTTCAGAGCTGTGCTAGGCTCAGGCTGCCTGAAGCCAGCCCTGAAGAGCAAGAGCTCCACCCCTTGTTCAGATCCCAAACCTCAGGGAGGAAGAGCTTGGTTCTATGAGCCACAGCCTTTTCTTCCATCAGACTCCATAAAAAAAAATTCAAATTAAAGCAGTTTATTAACTTTTAAAATACTGTACAGTGTGTAAACATAAGTTTTCCCCTCCCCAGAATAGCCACGTGCGCTTATCGGATGCCCTGGTGAATAATGCTGCTTTTGACACTGTTTGCCTTCTCTTTCTCCTTCTTCTTTATGGGGTCCAACTCAAAACAGCGCCAGAGCCGCAGTGTTTCATCAGCGGCTGCTGAGGCCACTGTTGCACCATCAGGGCTCATAGTCAGGTTCAAGACCCTGGCAGTGTGACCTGGGGAGGAGAAGGTGTGCAGTCAGGGTTGGGCTGATCACCACATGCCCTGGTCCCTCTGGCTCTACCACAATGGTCACATTTACTCCTGTATGCCCCATGAGCCCCACCAACTTGCACAGCTGTCCACAGCAGCACAAATTCACACCCTGGGCATGCATCTGGAGCAATGGTGTTTCTGCAGCAGGCCCCAGGAGTGCCTCCCTCTAGCAGCATGCCCCCAGACACCATTCTGCAGCTGTGATACTTCAGACTGGACCACAAGCATGCTCAAACCCAGGGTTATATCTGCACTCAGCCTCTAGCAGCCCTCCCTCCCTCTGGCAAAGGGCTCAGCCTACCTCTCAGCTCAGTGACCTTGGCCATTGTTGGATACTTCCATATAACCAGCTGATTTTGTGCAAAGCCATGGCCCGAAATGAACTCCTTGTAGTTTGTTGACCACAAGATAGAACAGACCTAGGAAGAGACAGTAATGCAGGTAAGACAAGCTGCTTGTGCTGATGTTTACCATCCAGATATGAGCATGGTCCCCTCCTTTCCTCTGGGACTCGGGAACCAGCAGCTCTATAGGTGTCCTACCAGAAGGTGTTTATCTCCACACTGATGTTCATGTCTCACCTGGGAATGGGCATCAACAATACTGAGGCAGCTGCCAGAACACACATTCCAGATGCGGATGTGTCTGTCACTAGTCCCACCTCCGGTGGCTAAAACATTTGACTGCCAGGGACACCATGACACAGCCTGAAAGAAAATGGTTAATTTTAAAAGACATGCAAGAAACAACCTGTGCCCAGCCAGAGCTGCATGTTTGCCTTGCACGCAGGCACATTCCCACAGCATCCCTGTGCTCACCTTGACAGCACCCTGGTGCTGAGTGAAGGTGTGTAGAGGAGCAAAGTGTCCGCTGTCCCCCTGGGTGCACGGCCAGATGTTCACCAGGTTGTCATTGCCACCACTGGCTAGGTAGCGGCCATCTAGAGACCACTTGAGTCCACACACCTCCTGTGTGTGGCCAGCAAGCGTGGCCACATGATGCTCAGCCACTCGGACATCATGGTGGTGGATGTGGCCAGTCCGTGCCCCGCTGCGGAGAGAAGGCTTACAGGGTCAAGCTGGCACTTTTTTCTTTTACCAAAATACATTCTTGTTCAAGGATGCTGTACCCACCACTGGGTTTCAACTAGTGTTACCAGCATCACTGGTCTGATGGCATGAGTGAAGCAGCCACAGATGCTCTTCACAACTTCAGCATAAAGGGCAAGAGAGAAGAGCAGCCTTCTCCCCACAGTCCCAACAAGAACAGGCTGAGTAAGAATCCCAAGCCAAGACAGAAACTCCTCTCTGCCACCCCTAACCTGCACCACTCACAGAGCTAGGACAGGAATCTGCAACAGCCAGACACTGCCCTTCACCGCCCTCCCCGCACTGCTTTACCTGGAGAGGATGTAGCTGTTCCAGCTGAGGGACCCCACACGGGAAGAATGGCTGGTCATATTTCGGAGGCGTTTCTGGTGCTGTATATCCCATAGCTAGAGAGGCAGAGCAGTTAAGTTTTCCAGAGGATGAGGAAACCTAGCCCTATTGCTTTGCCCGGGGAACCTTGGTGCACAGGCTCTGGCTTTCAACCTTGTCAGTACGGGAGCAGAGATAAAATTTCTCATACCTAGGGAGCAGAAGGTAACTCCAGGTGTCAGAAAACCCCTAAACCAAAACCTCTGCCTTGTGTGCTGCAGTTGGTCACTGGCTGGGGACATTCCCACCCCACCCCAGTCAGGACAAGTCAGGGTGCACCGCACCCTTTTTTTTGCTAGCCAGGCCTTTATCCCAAGACCCCACGGTTTCAGAAATCCCTAGACAACACCTCTAGTTTTACTCCTGCACTCACCTGGACCTCAGCATTACTGGTGCCAACAGCAAGGTAGTTTCCTTCTTTAATCCATGACACAGAGGAAACATAGTCATCTGGATGCTCCATCTGCAGCAGCTGGATGATCTCCCCAGAGGCGTGATTCCACAGATAGACAGAGTTGTCCAGAGCCACTGCCAGGAAGTTCTGAGAGCTCCAGTCAATGAGATTCAGATCTACAATTTGGAAGAGCAATGCAGGTCACACTGTGGTTACCTGGCAAGTGCTGCCCTTCACCAGTGTTGATGACAGCTCTTCCCACACAGGTGTGCATGCACAGGCACACAGGTGGGTAAGGGGCAGCCTTCCAGGTGTCACCATGGCCAGTTAGGAGCCCTGATCCAAGTTGCTTACACAGCACTCTAGACCACTGTTCCTGTAAGGCCACACAGGGACACTCCAGAAGTGGTCCGTAAGATACTGAAACAGCCTGGTTGTTACACTGTCCTGGGAACTGCACCCCAGCACAGAATGATCTCAGTGCCCAGCACTCAACATTGCAGCCTACTTACAATAGTCGTTGCGGATCTCTGGTGCATCCAGGATCCGATCTGGCATTGAGGGAATGTATCTGCCATTCTTCTTGCTGGATCCAGGTGTCCCTTTCTGACTGTAGAGCACTTTTAGGTTATTCTGATAGCCTGTGTGCAGAGGAAAAGAATTGTTAGCCTCAGTTACTGTTTCCTCCCAGAGGAGGAAAATGAAGCTGTGAGAGAAGAGATACATTGAGAAGAGCCCAACGTGCCAGCCCCACCGGCAGTGTGGCCTGCTGAGCCAGGGTGAGCTCTGATTCCTAATTCATAGGAACAAATTTAAACCAACAAGCACTTGGTTTTCTGTATCCCATTATGTTTAGTTAAGTTAAGCTCCAAAGTGCAGAGCAGAGTGTTGGAAGCTCTTGCAGACCTCAGGAAGGTTTGCAGCCAGCAGTACAAGTGAGCAACTGGCAGTCATTTCAACACTTATAATTAAATTCACTGGAGTTATTACGTAGCCCCTCAAGCTCAGGAACCCCAAGGAGGGAGACTCCAGCGCACACAGGAGCTCTGAGAAGCCAGCTGATGTCTCCCATGCCCACACGCAGGACCTCTGTGTTGCTATTCCCCTGCCCAGATCTCTCCAGCTGAGTCAACTCCTGCAGGCCCTGTACCATACCTTCCGGAGCATTCTGTGGCTTTCCAGTGAGGCGAAGGATCTTTGCCTCTTCTATGTCAAAGCCGTTCAGATTCACTGCCCAGGCTTTCTGTTGCTCCTACAGAGACAAACCACCCTTGGTGAGATGCATTTGAAACAAAGCCCATGCTGCACTTAAAACTGCAGCTGGCTAAGGCCCTTTCTAGAATCAGGAGGTGAACAACTGTGCTGGGGGAGTCAGCTACAGACAGGCAGGTCAAAGTAGCTTTTCCTCAGAGACCGGCACACTGTCCTGCTCACATTTTCATACAGATGAGTGGCAAGTTCAGTGTCTCATTGCCAGTGGGGAAAGCCACAGCCACAAGGGACCAAATGCTTCATAAACAGATTTCAGAACACTGTGTACACATTCCAGAATAGTTCCTCATGTAGACATTGTCCTAGAATAGCTACCACCAGCAGTTTCACTGTGCACAGGCTCACAGCTTTGTCTCTAGTCTCCTATGTTTTAAAGCCTCATTAGCCTAAAGTTGAATTTTGCTACCAGAAGTGGCACATGCTAGAGTGAATGGAATCAGAGGCGTACTGCTCTATGCTCTTCCCTCTGCCTAGGGAAAACAACCCTACAGAGCAGCTGTTCCATCTGCAACTTTATAGCTTCCACCTCATCCCAGGCTCCTGAAGCCTGTACTGGAAGCAGTGATGGCTGGGGCGGTCAGCCCCAGGTGCCCACTTCATAGAACTTAGTTTGCCTCTGGAAAAGGCCAGGAAGAGTTAGCTGCTTGGCAGTAATCATTGTAGTAATCATAACTTGGCAACATGCTCACCTTCTTTGTAGGAGACTCCTCAGCAGGGTCATTCTCTTTGGTTAGGAGGAAATTGGCCATCTCCATCTGCATAGCGCTACGGTTGGGAATGTAGCGATCGCCCCCAGCCTTTGTTGGGGTGCTCTGTATTTTGGATCCAGATTTACCTGCATTCACATGCATAAATATTGTCTTACAGCTATTAAGCAGCCTGTATTAGAGCTTTCAAGAGACAGCAAACCTAGCACTCTTCCACATCACACCTACTAGACAAGGTTCAGACAAGCAGGACGGAGTTCATGTCATTCAATCACAACTAACTCTTATTTTCACCCTCCCCACCCCACCCCCTCATTGCGCTAAACTCTGGTTAGGGACTGCCAGAAGACAGATCGTTGGGTCTAGTTCACAGATAAGGGGAAGATGAAAAAAATACTGTTACAGCATGTAAAGCTTTCAGCAGACAGCCCCACCCACGCTTGTGCCAACACACGGCTGTGCCAGCACGGCTCAGCTGGGGCATCAGCAGTTCACCTAGCCCCAGTGCACGGGGCTCTGCCCCCCTCACGCTGGGGAGAAGGTGGGCGACTTCCAGGAGCCAGGCAGTGTAGCCCACCGCCTCCCGCCCGACCAGCATGCCGGCTCGGGCAGCCTAGCACGGAGTCCCCGCAGCCCCAGGTAAGCAGCCCAAGCGACACTCCCCCACCCAACCTGTTGCCGCTGGTCGCCGCCGCCGCTCACCGGGTGTCCTGGACGGCGTCTTGCTGAAGCTGTGGGAGCGATTCATGGGCTTCATGGGCGACAGGCCGGCGGCGG